ATTATAACAATATACTATAGTAAAAGTTTGTACTTTAGGGCCATTATTAAGTATAATAAGGGTTACTCAGACACAAGGACTGTGATACCATAACAATCTGATAACAAAGACAGCTACTAAGTAACACACAGGCAGGTAGCTTATGCAGCACAGATACACTGGACGATGGGATGATTTGCACCCTAGATGGGGCAAAGTGGGGAAAAATGAGATTGCAGCACACCACTCAGAACAGCACATAGTTTAAAAGTTATTAGTTGTTTATTTCTGGAATTTTCCATTTAGTTTTTCCGAACTTGGTTGATTGTGAGTCACTGAAACTACAGAGAGACCTCAGATAAGGAAGAACTACTGTATGTACATTTTATACTCATACTTTTATATGAGTTAACAAAGGTTCATATACGCTTTTTAAAAGTTGAATCTGCTCAAAACATTCTATGGCTTCTATTCAAATACCCATTAGAAAGGTCCTTAATATTGAAACAAAATATGTGAAATAACTTTTGGGCCTATGTTTCAGAAGCAGCTTAAACTTGATTGCTTTTTGAGAAAAGATGAGTATGTAAGAAGAGGAGCTGGTTCTCATGTGTGTATGTCCATGGCAGGATTTAACCTTGTTTTTCTCACACCTACTCTCTTGTGATTTATCTTGTACTTGCAACAAAGGCTGATATTCTGGAAAAATCAGCCCTCTGGATGTGTGTAAGAGACTGTGGGTGTGTAAGAGACTGTGGATTGGGCCTGTCACAGGTAGAGAAATCCTAGGCCATTTTAACCTAAACTTGAAAGGATTGTGTGACTGTCTTAGCAGTCTCTAGAATGACTCAGATTTAGTGTCTGAGCAAAGATATTTGATTTAGGTAATTACAACCACTGGGTTATGTGGCAGTTATTCTAAATGACTGACCTAAATAGTGGAGATTTCAAGGTTATGGGTCACTGGAAACCTTTCTCCAGCTTCTGAGGACAGGTGCTCACTGGTGGGGCCTTTCCTATATCGAAAGGGGGTGTGTGTGTGTGTGTGTGTGTGTGTGTGTGAAAGAGGGAGAGAGGTACGGAGAGATATGAGAACTCTAGGCCCGTGACAGTGAAACTTTTAGAGGCTGAGGACCCAAACTGCAACCCAAAATCCACTTATTTATTGCAAAGTGCCAACAGTGCAATTAAACCTGATTACTGAGGTTTAGTTTGGAAAGAAACAGCTCATACTCTTGGCTCATGTGCTGACAGAGAGGGCTCTGCATGCCCGCTGTGGCACCTTGCCATAGGTTTGCCACCACTGAGCCTAGGCTGAGATATAGTGTTAATTTTGGAGACAGAGATGCGGAGGGGAGGAGCTGGGCTTCC